TTCGGCTTCTAGATTTGTTTGAACTCCTTTTTCTCTAAACAATTTGCTTTTCTGGGGGGCTAAAAATATTTCTTTTTCATTTTTGAGAGCAACTCCTCCACATTCTGTTTCTCTTTTTAATACTTCGGGAGAAATAAAAATTAGTTCAGAACAGTTTTTACCAGATTCTAAACCTAATTTTTCCATTAATTCTTGAGGAATATCGAGGGTTAATCATTTCTTATTATTTTCATAGGAAAAACCATATCTTTCACAAACTGGTTCTTTTCAACCTTCGGTGGAACACATGTAATTTTTTCCCCGAGTAGTTAACTCGACAAAATCTTGGGGTATTACTTGTTGCTTAGTCAGAGTTTCCTGTTCTTGACAAATAATTTGTTCTTCCACAACCGGTGGAATATTATTTTTAGTGCTTTTCATATTATTTTGTATTTATAAAATAACCACGTGTATAAAAAAAAGCTTTTCAGTCTAAAATTAAAAACGAGAACTTAACCGTAAACTAACTCCATTGCTTCTTTTACCAATTAATCTCACTATTTCTTTATCCCTGCTCTTCAACAAATCCTTATTTCTTAACTTTTCCACTAAATAACCAATCACATACTCGGGAGCAGTCTTTAATTCAATGTCTTGATTATTTTCTAATTCTTTAAGTAAATATTCAATGATTACTCATTCCTCCGTATTCTGATATTGAGCGTAAGGAGTGCTTATTTTAAAGTTTCTTGTTTTTGTGTTTTGGTCCACAAGGTCAGATCTGTTTACCATAGAAGTCTATTTCTTTAATTTTTTTGCCTTTTCTATCCATGATGTCTCAATGGTCGCCATGTAATTTATCTTTCTTTCAAATTGTGTTATCACGAGTGTTCTTTCAACCTTGATTGCCTTTTAACTTAATTCAATGTTTTCCTATCCCAGGCAAGTCAACATTCTTATTCATTGATATTAATGTTTTTTAACCAACCCTAGCAAGAAGTCCCCTTGTTCTATAACTGGGGGATGAATTGCTAAAAATATAATATACTTAAA